TAACTGATGATTTCAAGAGGACATCGACCAAACCAACACCTCTATCACAGACTGAAATACCAAGAGGAAAAATTAGTAAGGCTAGGATGATTTGAACAAAACCAACAAGCTTGATCTAACACATATAACGTAAAACTTACAGAAAACAGCAACACTATATTGCTTAAGGGGCAATCAGTTTCTGTTTGGGGTGATCAGTGCACAACGTGGTGAATGTAGCTAATGTCACTGAATTGTGCACTTACAAATGGTTAGAATAGCAAATGTGGTTATATATATTTTACCACAATTACATTTAAAGAAACCAAACACACACTATTTTTAAGTATAAAAGGAACATTTATAAAAAATGATCGTGTACTAAGGTCATAAAGCAACCATCAACAAATTATACATCAGTATCATTTAGATCGTGTTCGCTGGACACAGTGCAATCAAATTAGGAATCAATAATAGAATTTTTAAACCCATTTAGATCCTGGCTCGTATATTAATAAACACATTACTGGGCCGATACTTATGGGGAAACTCTGGACAATATACTGTACATTAAAGGGCATTTTATTTTAATAGTAAGTTGCTCAGGAGTATTAATGTTGTTGCCAGGTGTCATCAAGTCGGCCCCCAACTCATAACGACCCCATGTGACAGAGTGGAACTGCCCCACAGGGTTTTCTCAGCTGTAATCTTTATAGAAACAGATCACCAGGTCTTTCTCTCACGGAGCTGCTGGGTAACTTTGAGCCAGCAACCCTTTGGTTAGCAACCTAGCACTTAACCATTGCACCACCAGGGCTCCCTGGAGTATTAACAGTACTGTGGTAATGTAGGAAAATGTCCTAGTTTCAGCGCTAGTGTATTTAGGAGTGAAGCATCATGATGCCTGCAACTTATTTTAAGATGACTCAGTGAGAGAGAGAGAGAAAGAGCGTGCGCATGCAAGCATGAGAAAAATAACTGCAAAGTTACAAAATAGTAACAACCAGTAAATCTAGGTGAAGTATATAGGAGTATTGATTGTACACTCTTTCAAATTTTCAGTAGGTTTAAAATTTTTCAACACAAAATGTTTGGAGAGAAAAACTCAAATCTACAAGTTTGGAAACTAAATGCGCTTCTTCATTTAGCCATGGAATGCAGCTAAAATGGTGTCTGGGGTTGTAGAGACTTAAGCACACTTATTGTCAGTCAAGAAAGACAGAAATAAATCAAATGAGTTCATACTACAAGAAGTTAGGGAAAAGAACAGTGAAATCCAAGAAAGTTAAAGGAAAAAGAAATAAGAGAGAAGCAGAAACATAATGAAATAGAAAAACTAACAAAAACAATAGTCACGCAATAAAACCAAAAGTTGGTTCTTTGAAAGGGGTAAATGAGAGATATTTAGCAAGTCTGATTAAAAGAGGAGGGGGGGATTAGTGGGAGAGTTAGGAATGTAAAAAAACCACTGCCATTTAGTCGACTCCGACTCACAGCGAACCTATAGAGCAGAGTAGAACTGCGCCCATACAGTTACCAAGGAGCTGTTGGTGGATTTGAAATGCCAACCTTTTGGTTAACAGCCAAACTCTTCATCACTGTGCCATCAGGGATCCATAGGAATGTAAACCCAAAACCAAACCCACTGCCTTTGTGTCGATTCTGACACAACAGATACATTAGAGATTAAGTCCTAAAAGAATTCTGTTAACAACTTTATACCATTAAAGTTCAAAGTGGACAACTTTAGAAATACATATTATTCAAACAGATTCAACAGAAAGAGGAAAAGCTAGTCAATTTATTTTGTGAGGTTGATATAACCCTGATACCAAAACCAGACGAGGACCCTACAATAAAATAAAATTATATATCAAAATATAGTATCAATTGCATCAATAAAATATACTGAGAAGAATGGGCTGCAGGCTTTACCATTGTTGATTCACCTCTGATATTAAACCAGGGATAAACACCCTCTGGATGATACCTTAAAACCAGTTATTAATACACTTAACAGCAAAATGAAAAAAAATAAAAACAAACTTTCCTAATAAGATGTACACAGGACACACACACACAAAAAAAAGCCTCAAGGACAAGAGGACATTTAACCAACTGATCTCCGTGTTTGTGGCCTGTCATACTATTTGGAAATGAAAATACATTTTTTGCCATGATTTGCTCTAACAAAAGTCGGTGGTTCAAACCCACCAGCGGCTCCACAGATAAAAGACCTGGCAATCTGCTCCTATAAAGATGACAGCTTAGGAAACCCCTGTGGGGCAGTTCTACCTGTTATACAGGGTCACTATGAGTCGGAATTGACTCGACAGCACACAACAACAATCTGCTATTTAATCATCTTTTCAGTTGAACTAAAACAGCATGGCTTGAACATTCAAAAGGGAACTCCAGTTAAACATGGCAGACTGAACACTTCCTCTCACTGCTTCTTCGTGAAGCTCCTCTAAAATAACAGTAAAGGGGTGAGTGTGTGTGATTAAATCATGAGAACTAACAATGCAAGAGGCAACAGCATTTTGAAGCTAGACAACAGATGTCCAGCTGCCTTAGCAGATCTAAAAAGTAAAAATTCTGCCAACAGTGGAGGGGGCATCCAGAAGCAAACAGCTTCAAACTAAAGAACTACAGAAAGGATCAGGAGTTGGTAACCCAATGTATCACTAAAAGAAGGTAAACTGGGCTAAAATCAGGAAGATGGGTTTGTAACACCACAGTGAAAACAGGAGAACTGAGCAAAAGTCTATGTGGCACCCGATAGCTCTCCTCAACTTGGGGTTACTGCAGCCAAGCCCATATCCTCGAGCATTTCTCTAAAATGTGAGCAGACATTCAAGAACCACGACATTTCAGAAAATTGTAAGAGCGACAGAAGGCTCTGTTCTACACACACACACAGAGAATGTGGAAGTAAAACAGAGAAAAGGCATGAAGAAGAAAACTTAAGGGGAAAAACATACTATTCTCAGGGAGAAAAGATATTACATAAAACATAAAAGAGCAGGGTATCATTAAAAAAAGTTCAGAGAACAAAATGGAGTTCAAAAATAGGAAGTCTAACATTTGAATGAGTTCTACAAAGTGAGAACAAAGATGAAAGAAAGGCAAGAAAATCAAAGAACATTAAAAATAATTTCCCAAGCCAGAAAGACATGGATTTCCAGATTGAAAAAGCCCAGCAAGTATCCAGAACAAAAGAGAGATCCATAAAGGCACATCATTGTGAAATCTCAGAAGACTATGAATGAAGAGAAAAATCCTAAAAGCTTCCAGAAGAAATAAAACAGATCACATAAGATGAAACCAAAATCAGGATGGCTTTAGGCAATACTGGAGCAATTCCTTTAAAATTCTGAGGATATTATGAATTATAACCTAGAATTCTATACCTAGCAAATACAATTAAATGAGAGGATAAAACAAAGATGTTTTCAGATATGCACAGCCTTAAAAAACATTCATTTCCCATGATCCCTTTAAGGAAGCGACTAGAGGATGTGTCCTGTCACCAAAACATTCCCTTTGAGGGTTAAGACCCCAGAGAAGTAAGATTCTCTAGAGAATTAAAATTCCTGCCAACCGAGCATACATATTATTAATTCAATAGAGCAGATGTCAATTTAAGAAATATAAAATGCTAAAGTGGAATTTTACACGTGTGGATGGACAACTGGTAAAAACCCAGTCATGAGGAACAGGCACGTAAAAGAGATTTCGTTAGGAAGTTCCATTAAGACCAGCTTTTCAACTTTTGCATTAGGAACACGCTTGGTTTCATTAAAGCCTGTTAATTTCTCTTAGGAAAAGCACACACATCCCCATTCATGTATACCTTAATAAACCTGGGTCATTCACAGCAAAGGTGTGATTGGCTACATACATCAGCACGTTACTCTACCAGCTAAGTACTCATACCCCACTTTCTAGACTTTACTGTTGATTTCACCTTAAGGAGTCACATTAACAAGGAAATCTGTTACATATGGGAAAAGTGATGCTTTATGATTATATATAGTATAATAAACTATAATGATTATTAATAAACTTGCTATTAATTGTTTTATAGGTGAAAACATCCTCTTTTGCTTCTTTCCCACTAATTAACCTTATTTTAGAGTCAGAGTCTAAGAAAATTAATGTGAGGATAAGGTCCTTTTATTTTCACCCAAAAGCATCACTCCTGATACCAGGATTTTTCAGCTGCTGAGTTGGTTTTGTTCCTAGCTTCCATCAGAGCAAAATCACAAGCCTCTTATTCTTCGATACACGTTATAATCACCTCAAAGCTCTCCGAAATGCCCCTGAAAATTAACACCACTATTTTGTTTTAATATTGGCTTTCAAATTATGCTCTACAAATGGGTTTCTACCATGTCCCGTATGCCTGGCCCCAAAAATCTTATCAAAAGTTAAGGCTGAGGTTCAGTGTTTGAACCACAGTAAAAACAAATTCATGAAAAACCAGCTTAAAACTATGAGAAGAACACTTCAAAATCTAAAATAATAATGTATAAGAATACATAAATAACCCAGGATAGGGCTATTTTAAAGCACAGTGACTCTTAACTAGCTGCTCTGTATCATTTGCTCTGTATATAGTGTGCACAAACACACACGTTCATGATTTCACAGCTTGAATTCAATGTACTGCTTCTTTCCACAACAGCCCTGTATCATTTATCACTATGAGCTATGTAAGATTTATATAAAAATCAAAGTTAACATCTACCAAGCTGTGTTGCCTAAAACAGGAGCGTTACAGATGAGAGATCAGCTTAGATCCAGCCCAGCAGCTGCTCCTAGACTAAGCAAGGCAGGGGTGATGAGTAATTTCACCAAACGCAAAAACCCTAACCATTTTCTGCATTCTGTACTCCATACTAATTCTCTCACCAATGACCTTCCCGGCACCCTTGTGTTCTAGAGCATTAACAGTCCTAATCACCATCTCTTCACCTCCATATCCCCCATGCCAGAAAGAAAAAATTTATACGTACCTTAAAATCTGTATTATTGATATATTCAAATACCAAAGCTGGTGTCTTTGACTGCAAGAGAGAATATTAATGCTTTTTAAATACTCAAACAATAAACGTAATTTGCTTCTGCCATACTGGCCCACCCCCAAATCCCACTTAGATGAAAAAGGGATTTACTCATCAGGAAGAACCTGACGAGAAAGTGCTCTCTCAACATTTTTTGATGTCTGGGATTTGCTTCAACGTAACTGGGAATGGTGGGAGGTAGGGAAGTGGGTGGGGTAGAGCTGAAACAAGGTTGGCCATGAACGGATCAACCGCTGAAGCTGGTGATAGGTGCATGAAGGTTCACTTTACTTTTATAAACAGTTGAAATTTTTCCTAAGTTTTTTGTAAAAAAAGAATGCATTCTCTGAACAACTTATGAAAAATGTCAATGAGCCTGGAATGTTACATAAAAATTTACACTCTGCAGTGTAATGGTTTGCCAACTACAAAAGGAGTTACATATTTTCATCTTGGATTAAAGCCAGATGCATTTGACAGAATCATCCTAGGGCTTGGGAATATTTCATATAATCATCTATGAAATCATTAATAAGCCACCATGTGAAATTACTGCCTTGGCTAGAGAACATTACAGAATGTCTGACCTTACAAAATAGACATGTTCCCAAAAGCTCATATATAATCAAATATTTTAAAAGCAGTATAATCTTTAATGCACAAGTACTCATATTCAATTTTCCTTGTGTACACCCAGATTTTCAAATATCAGGTTTACTTAAGTGAGGTAAAATATTGCTAACTGGCAGTAATAAGTTTTCAAAATTGGGAGAAAAGCAGGGACTTAAAGGGCTACAGAAAGAAAAAAAAGAAAATCATCTTGGAAATCTTTGCAGCTGGCAAGCTTTGCTCAAGGAAGCAGGTGCCAGTTACCTAGGAAATAGGCCACAGTGCATGCACGCAGGTCTTTGCTAGGACAACTCAAAGCCCAAGCAGCAGTCCTGGCAGCAGCCATAATCAAATGATTCTTCACTAGCCCAAAGCTGAAACGGCTTCATCAAGACCACCAGATCTCTCTGCAGGCTGTGGAGCAAGCCTGTTCCCCTAAAAGTTAGGGGCAAGGGTTCCCTGTTGATTTTTGTCTACTTCAATTTACTGGTCTTACGTATCTTGTAAAACACACACACATACACAAACTTTAACACACTGCAAAAACAGAAGACAGGTATCATTAAGTTCTGTTAACTAAAAAAACAAAAGCAGACTGAAGATGCTCCTGACATAACACCGTATACTGGCTCACATTAAAAAAATTCTCCCGAAACCCACATTTTTACGTAGTGCTCTTTTTAAATGGACAACACTTACTTTTAATGCAGACAATTCTCAAACATTACATAGTCCACGGTTAGTCATCTTTAAGATCAATCTGAGCTAATCAGGCTGGGATATTATTTGTAATGTCAATTATAATCTGGCATACAACCATCCCTCTCAGTCTTTTCAGGGTCTAAGAGGAAAAACTTCATTCTTCAGTTCAGCAATACTGTGTAATCTTAGGCAAATTACTTAACCTCTGTGTACTTCAGTTTTCCCACCCTTACAATGCACAGTAATGGTACCTACCCTAATGGAGTGTTGTGAGGATTAAACGATGTGCTAAAACACTCAGAACAGTGCCCGGCATGTGGTAAGTGTTCAATGAATATTAGCTATTATGAGGATATCTTTAGCAGACAAAAGCAAAGACTTACTTCTTAAATAAAAAGCTATCACGGGAAGACAGCAAGGAGATATCTGAGGTAGAGCAAGTGGAGAACAGAAATGGGAGAAGAAATGCTAGTAGGGGGTGGGGAGTCTTCAACCTTGGCTAATCAATAAAACTTAAGGTTAAGTTACTCCCCAGGAGAGAAAACAAAATTAATAAGGATGCCTGAAATGTCTAAAAATTAAGCATTTTAACAAAAATATTTGTTTTATCTGCAGAAATGAGATGCGTCCTAATGGTGGATGCTCAATTAAAGACTAGTATGAGAAACAGCAAGACTGCTTCCCCAAGGGCTGGGCTGTGACCTGCCCAGCTCTCTATGCCAGGTGTCCACGTGGAGATATTTAACAAACGTTTGTGGGATGAATCAAATAATGAGGTTACAAACCCAGAGCAGGGTTCCACAAAAGCAGTGATGACTACTGTATCACTGGGCTACCAGGATTTTTCCTGGTTTTTAAAACTATTCAGTAGATAAGACAAACATAATCATCCCAGTATATGATGATATTCCTCATCAGTCTGAGGCTCTGTGTGTTACACACACACACACACACACACACACATACACACAGTCCACTAGCGTACTCCCCCAACCATCAGGCACCTACCACAGGGTCCTTTACAGTGTCAATCAGCTTAATGATATTTGTTCCACCACGAAGGTTCTCCAGAATCTTAACCTCTCGTTTTATCTTCTTTTTCTTCACTGGCTTAAATACACAAGAGTAATTAGAAGTGAGACTCCTTTTGAAGTTAATAAATGAAACTCTTAAAATAATGTTAGCCAATTAAATGGTTACTGCAGCATCTTGCACCATGCTGTATTAGAGCACGCCTTCATTAAGAGAGAACATAATCGAGATAAGATGGGCTTGCCTGTAAGAGCCTTAACACTAAGTTAAATAATATACACTCATATAGCTTACTGTCAGATCTTTAAGTAGCTACATTTAGGGCACTTAAAAATTCTGAAGACCCATGTCACACTTTAAAAATAAAATGCTTGCTTACTTGATAGCTGCCAAATGGAAAATGTTATAGCTCTGAACAGCTGTATGTCAGGCAGTCACAAATGGAAAAACTGAAACAAAATGGTAAGACAACTGCTCTTCCAATGAGTTACATGTAATTTTGTCTTCCAGGAGGGAAGACCAGTTCACTGACAGCAAGTTACAAACTTGTTTCCCAGCTGCTGGCTCCGGTTTCCTGTTGCCACCCCCACTTCCTTAATATCCAGAATCTGAAATCAGCACACAGCCAGTAAAATTTCCTAACAGATTACATTCCAAAAGAAAGATGCTAGATCAGCAAAGGAGAATACTGATCTCTGATACAGCAGTGACTGAAAACCTCTGCTATCTGCTAACTTTTTGATCTCCTTGATTGAAAAATTAAAGAACTTAATTAGAAATACTAGCATTACATGTTATTTCTTGTCTCAAATGGGCAAAGGAATTTGAAGAAGAATAAATGTAGTTCTGGAAAAATAAGGGCCTATTACAGTCAAGTATGTTTTATAAAGGACTCAGAACACTGACTGGAACATAGTAAGCACTCAATAAATGTTAGCTTTATTATTTTCAAATTTTTACTAGGTTAACGGTAGCACCTGGGCTTAATTTACATGAGCATATTTAATCCTCACAAAATCTCTATGTAGTAGACTCAGCCAAAAGTTGAGCTATTTGCCCAAGGTTACACAGCTAATAGTAAGGAGTAGGGACAGGATGCAAATCTAGGTGGGTCTGACTCCACAGGCTGCACTGTTAACCACTGTGCTTTTGTTTCCCAAGTATGGCTAAAGGGAGAAATGTAAGGAAGGAAAAGGAGTATTCCATCACTGAGACACTGTTACAATACCACAGGCAAAGAGAGGTCAGTGAGTTTGCCATGAAACAATAAAACAGGATGAAAAAAGCCTGCGTGTGTTGGTGGTAGGCGGGAGATATGTACATGCGCCAGAGAAACTTCATCTTTTGTTGGTTACTAAGATATAGCTTTGGAGTCCTGGTGGCACAGTGGTAAAGAGCTTAGCTGCTAATCAAAAGGTCAGCAGTTTGAATCCACCAGCTGCTTCTTGGCAACCCTATAGGGCAGTTCTACTGTGTCCTATAGGGTCACTACGAGTTGGAATCGACGTGACAGCAATGAGTACGATATAGCTTTGAACGTGTAACTAAAGGGAGAAAAAAATATGAAACCAGGAGCCACTTGCATCACCTATAATAAGGTGCTCAACTGAGAGATAAGAATCCAGCCGCATCCTCCCAAGCCAGCTACCATGTCCACTCTCTCCACTTTGTCAGGGTTCCCAGGAGAGCAGGTCTGGCTGCTGTGTCCCTTCCCCATCTCCACTTAAGAACCATACTCCCTTCCTCATAATTAGAGCTCAGTATTCTGGGAAAATGAACCACTGCACAAATGGATTAAAAAATAGCCGGGGACCCAATGTGAGCGACATACTACAAAACAACTGGACTGTTGTAAGTTTCAAGAAAGGAACCCTCGTGGCACAGTGGCTAAGCACTCAGCTGCTAACCAAAAGGTTGGTGGCTAGAACCCACCAGCTGCTCTGTGGGAGAAAGATGTAGTCTGCTTCCATAAGGATCACAGCCTTGGAAAACCTATGGGTCAGTTCTACTCTGTCCTATAGGGTCGCTATGAGCCAGAATCAACTTGACAGCAAGAGGTTTGGTTTTTTTGGTTTAAGCTTCAAAAATATCAATTTTGTGAAACACATAAAGACTGAGCAACTGTTCCACATTAAAAAGATATGACTACTGATTGCAACATATGATCTGAGACTTTCTTTTGCTATAAAGAACATCATTAGTACAATTGGCAAAAGTGAATGGAGGCTGTAGATTAGATAATAGCACTGTACCAATGTTTATTTCCTGATTATTACGATCATGGCAGTTTGGGGTTATATAAGAAATCGTCCTTGTTTTTAGGAAATACACACTCAAGTATTTAGGGATGGCTACAATTTACATACTTTCAAGCACTTCAGGAGAAAATATTTTTTTATATGTATGTATACATATATGTGGAACCCTGGTGGCACACTGGCTAACAGAACAGCTGCTAACCAAAAGCTCAGTAGTTCAAATCCACTAGCTGCTCCCTGGAAACCTTACGGGGCAGTTCTACTCTGTCCTATAGGGTCGCTTTGAGTCAGAATTGACTCGACCACAACTTTTTTTTTTAAAAAACACATATATGAACGTATGTACATATGTAACATGAGGGAGAGGGTGGTAGAGAAGAATAAAACAAATGTTAACACTGGGGAATCTGGGTGAAAGATACGAGAGTATTCTACCATTCACGCAACTTTTCTCTAAGTCTGAACTATGTCAAAAAGTTAGAAGAAAAATAAAAGTCCATCATCTTTATCTATAAACTGAGTCAATGCTACTAGATCATTCAATGCCTTTCAATGGAATAAAATTCTAGAGTTGTCATCCACTACTAGAAAGCAGTTATAGATCAGTAGGAATGTAAGAGAGAAAATGAAGGCAGCCAGTAGCCTGTATACACCAAAAAATTCTCCTTCATTCCTACTGGTGAATAAGCATCGGGGTAACCCATTAAATAAGGAGCCCTAGTGGCGCAAAGATGGAGCCCTAGTTGTGCAACAATTAATTCCTCGGCTGCTAACCAAAAGGCTGGAGGTTCGAATCCACCCAGTGGCTCTGCAGGAGAAAGACCTGGCAACCTGCTCCCGTAAAGATTACAGCTGAGAAAACCCTATGGGAACCATTCTACTCTGTCACCTGGGGTCACTGTGAATCAAAATTGACTCAACGGCACCTAACATCAACAATAAACCAAACCCAATGCCGTCGAGTTGACTCTAACTCATAGTGACCCTATATGACAGAGTAGAACTTCCCCATAGGGTTTCCAAGGAGCAGCTGGTGGATTTGAACTGCCGACTTTTTGGTTAGCAGGCAAGCTCTTAACCAGTGTGCCACCAGGGTTCCAACTCTAACAATATAACCCTTAAATAAGTTGCTTTTGTGACGCTGACCCATATGAAAACTTGCTTTGCTCTCCTGCTATTCAGCAACAGGTCAGGTAGACACACTGTTCCTGGACAATCCACTTACGATAAAGCTATCTTTCATTATGTCTAAAGGTAAGTTACAGAACAGTTGGAGACTGGGACAGCAGGGCAATTCTGAGGTGGCACAATGGAGTCCCACAGCAGTCGTAGTCCTCATAACACTGACCAAAGACCAACAGACTGAAAGAAAAGTGACCTGCAGCCCAGGACACTCCCTCCACCCCCCAAAGCACTGGCACCTGTTCTCTACTTAAGAACCAGGTTGCAGGTAACCCTGGTTAGCCTCCGCTCAGTCCTCTGAATCTCGGAGACGCTCTGCTAGTTAAGCCACAGTTACTCCAAGGGAGTGAAAGCAATCACTGGAATTCTATAAAGGGAATTGGAGAGAACAGCTAAGACTTACAAAGGATCAGGGCAAGCTATAAAATTACCTTCTCTCAACTTCAATCCAAGAAGGACCCCTGGCATCATGAAAAATCTAAATTATGGGTCTTGCAGAAACAAGGATACTCCGACCCTCCTGCCCAGAGCTGGCACCCATTCACCACCAGTTATACAAAGTGGAGAGAAATACAGACATTTCCATGGCAATCTCATTTTTTTCATCTGTGTGCTAGGAAAACTCTCTCCTGTCAAAGATTCTTTTATACAAATTCAGGAAAGTTCTGTTTAAAAGATTCCAACTGAATCAGTTTAGCTGTTTTCCAAATAAATTATTTTTTCTCCAAGTCTAGTAGATAAAATGGCAAAGAGTTAAAAAAGAATTAAAAGGAATTTAAAATACTAAATCAAGTTTTGATAGTAAATAAAATTTTGGCACACACTTACTTAGAATACTTAAACCTAAAAAACCAAACGTTTACTGCTGAGTCGATTCTGACTCATAGCGACCCTATAGGACAGAATGGAACTGCCCCATAGAGTTTTTTCCAAGGAGCGGCTAGTGGATTTGAACTGCTGACCTCTTCATCAGCAGCTGCACTCTTAACCACTGCGCCACCAGGGCTCCTAGAATACTTAATGGGGAGGAAACATTTAAAATTTTCTGTGCATGAGCTCTGAAAATCAAAAACAAAAAACTTTTTGGAAGGTTTCTGTTCAGGTGGTGACCAGTCCATCTGTTCAGGAAAACCCTATTCCAAGTAATCCAAGAGTAAGGCATTTTTTCTCTTTATCTACCAACATTTTAAAATCAAAGACAAATTAGGTGGTGGACTGCTTGTAAAAAGCTGATAAAGTCAGCAGTCTGTACTATCTATCCTATTTATTTACCCAGGGCTGCTTAAAAAAATAAAATAAAATAAAATAAAAAGCCAGATTTGAGAAGGAGTCAAACTACCAGCATTTGTGATTGAATTTGCAAACTTATGTCTACCAAAGGCATAAGAATTTTGACCTCAATAAAACCTAGCAAATATTAACACAATGCAATTGATGATTTCAAGACAGGCAGAAATATGGCTCAGAAGATTCAATTCCAGGGTTACTTTTATTCCACTGCCAACTTCTGATTGCCCAAGATATTAATTTCATCACCTACAATAAACAATAGTTGCCAAGAATGTAGAAGGATGGAGAAAGGAAGAAAGTTCAGCCTGGATAATAGCATTTTATTTTATTACCTTGGTAGCATCTCTA